TTTCAAGGTAGGGGTACGGCTGCGTACACACCACCCTCCCCAGACCCCATTTGTGGGATTACACTAGGGTATGTTGTTATTTTTGTTGTTTTCTCACATAAAATAATATCATCATACCGGAATTATTTTTCCATATACCGAAAACCAGACAACTCATCAATGCATTGAGACTGAAACTCCTTCTAAACCTATGAGTCCAAAGGCTGACCTTTCACTCCCCAAAAGCCAAGTTGTTCTAAATTGCTTCTACCGAAGGTGAAAGTACCTGATATAGGGACCTTTGTGGGCTGAAGAATCAAGGTCTAGTGATGGAATGTAGTTCACGTTTTGAATTTCAACGTCACAACCATCACCAACTTGAGCAATTGCCACACAATCAAACTGTAGCAAGGATCTCAGACCAGGCTTCTTCACACCTACTTTCATGAAAGCGTCCCTGGGAAATTTGGCATTTTCATTAGAGCCCTCAGCACCCAAAAAAGCAGAAACAGCAATTTCCTCCCCTGACTCGCATCTCCTGCGTAGAACTACGTCTTGGGATTGTGGTGAATCCCAGTCTACAACAAAATCTCCAAAGCTACTACTTTCATCATTCTGTTTAAATCAGAAAAAGAAGGCAAAACTTAAGAAGTGCTCAGATTTCAAACTATAAATTGCAGTTAGTTACTCATATCACGGTGGATGAGATTATAATAAAGTGATTTCAAGATTTCAGCTTCAATAGACAGAACTAATTTGTTTTTGAAAGGGAAAAAGACAACATAGAAACAGATTAATCAATTTTTGTATGAGACATCTAGTGGAATGCAGCCATCATGAACACAAACATTTCTACCCCAAATTGAATTCATACCTGTTTTTTTTCTGTCCCTCCGACAAAGGAAACCTTTTATATTTGATGAAAGGAACACCTCTGTCATACTCCAGACGACTTTGAGGAATACTTAAGCGAGTCATCTCTATGATATTGGCTTTGGTTTCCTAGTGGTTTACTGCCCTTCAGATAGCTATTGTTTTTCTCTCCGTTACGCTTGCTTTAACTTGACAGCATCTTGATGCCTTTTTATTACTAACAAGTTGTTTTTACCCGTTTAACAAAGGGATATTTGAATGAGTTACTTCGTTAATTATGATAAGGAGTATGCTAAACTGTTGCATCAGACTGACACTAAGAGTATGAAAAAGGATAAAATAAAACATTATCATTTGGGTAAACTGATCACATATAAATATCAGTTTCAACCAATCAACTATTGAATATAGGAACCCTTTATTTCCTTAAAAAATACAATCTCAGAGCATTCATCATAATTAGACTATCTTGATGGCACCCAAGGGTGTGGCAATGAAGTGGGTTGAGAACGTCTCAGGAAATAATCCCAGCAGAGACAAAAACACTAGGTGATTTCTGGACAACTTGCAAATTTAAAAAAGCCTTCATTAGGAGACAAATCAAACTAAACAACCTGGGAAAAGGAACGGTCAACTTTCTGGACATATGGTAGTTGAATAGGTATTCTAGATACTTGTCAATGAGATGCTGATACATTTTTCCTTCGGGGACCATGGGGAGTGGTCCTCTTCTCCTACCCCTACAATTTTGGCAGTTATTCTTGATTAACAAAGACTGAAGCTATTACACTATGATACAACGGAATAATCTCTAGTTAGTGACAGAAAGGTTCACATTCGCTAGCCAGTTGAATTCAACAACATCAACAACTAAGCCTCAATTCCAAACTGGCTGGGGTCAAAACAATAGGAATTCAGGTAAACAACTTTACTAAGTTGAGAGATCTAAAAATATGGGCATATCACATATGAGAACTCTCCATGCAGTCTCTTTTTTATCCTGGAATTCAAAAACAACTGTAGAAATCATGTATTCGGCTAGTAAACATGCTTAGTTGTTCAAAAGACAACTCTAAATCAGAACAAACCAAAACACATACATTTTGGTCAAATCTGGACATGGAAATTAACTCAAAATGAAAAAAAATAAAGAAAAACAAAAAGAGCTAGCTGAAATTTCATATGATTAGCAAAGAGCAGTTAATAAAGAAGTATTATTTACAATAACATACACATATGAACAGCTACCTGCAAGAATAGCTTCCGGTACCCAGAAAAGCTTATAAACTATTTTCCCACTCAAAAGTTGTACTTTACATCGAACATTATTTCAAATACTTTTTGCAAAAAATATAACCAAATACAACTCCATTTTCAACTTTGATTCCTTGAATTCCAAAAAAGTAAAAATATTTGGAATCTACCGCCCAAACGACTGACAGAGAAAATGGACTAAAATTTAAAGAAGTATTCTTTACAATAACATACACATATGAACTCCAACTAACTGCAAGATTAGCTTCCGGTACCCAGATCCAAACTAGTAAAGTGAAAAAACCACCACGTACGAAAAATAACAAGGAATCTCCACAATGATAGAATACTCAATAATATTAACACAAAAACAACTACCACTAGTTCCAAACAAATTGAGGTCAACTATATGAATACTCACTGACCATGTTACTACATCTAAACAATACAATTATTCCCCCACCTCCATATCTTCCATTTGTTTTAAAAAAAAAAAGATTTTGAACCCTTTCCATTTCAAATTCAAGCAACACCAAAATTTGGGTGAAAAACTATCAATACAAGTTCCCATAAAATGGACCAAAAATACCAGGAAAAAACTATAGTAGAACTCCACAATGATAGAATACTCAGCCAAAATACTGAAACAATACAATACAATGATTTCTACAACCCCACATCCGTCTACTTGTTCACACTATTGTGATTAAGACCCGTTCAACCATAAAAATGAATAATTTTTCACTTTATTTGAAATCAGTGTCCGGCCATGAAATTTTCAACTGCTAACTAATTATATTTCAATTTTGAAAAACAACTTATAAACTGTTTTCAAACTCAAAAAGTTGTACTTTACATGAACATTATTCCAAATAGTTTCTTATTTACTGCAAAAAATATAACCAAATACAATTTCATTTTCAACTCCAACTCCGTAAATTCCAAAAAAGCGAAAACTTTTTGGAATCTCCACCCAAACGCCTGACAGAGAAAATGTACTGCAATTCAAAAAAGACAAGATCAAATAAAAAATACCCACTAACCCTTTTCGCATAAACTTCATAAAAACATAAAATTGGGTTTCAAAGAAACAATGTAAAGATAATCTCCATCAAATGGAGCCAAAATACCAAGAAAAAAAATGGGATTTTGGAGCAAAAAAAAGAATGTTACCTGAAACTGTTTAGCTGAAAACTCATGGTTAATTTCAGATTGCAAAACTTTGAGCAAATCCAAATCTGCAATAGCTTTACGAGCTTGCCGTAACACTGCTGGAACTTTCCTCATCGCCCACAGGAATATAAATATTGAAGAAACAAAAAACTTCAGGGGATTTGAAGAAACTGAAAATTGCACAAATAACCAGTTTGAGGACTCTATTTAAGGTATAGGCACTTTTGCAAATTTAGCTACTTTTAAAGTTTGACTTCTCTAAAAGAAACGATTTAGAAATAAATAAAACCTGAACAAGAATATAGGTTGAGATCGATAATGTAGGTGAGCTTGCACATATAATATTGTATTCTAATTTGATTATATATGATTTTTTTTATTAGATCGAGAAAAATCTAATTTTATGATATTAGTTACTAATAAGTATTAATAACAACAACATAATTTCTAAGTGGACTTTAGGAGAAATATTTATATAGTAGAGAGGTTTTTTCCAATTGAAGTTTAGACAATCCTACTTCCTTATTTGGGTTGGGAAGAATAAGGTGTATATATATTTTAAATATTTTTTAAAGGCACAATCTAAAAATATACCATTTAACTTGACCTCAACCGATATTTATGTTTTCTAACTTTGAGTGTACATAAGAAGACGCTAAACTTTGTATAAAGTTGAACAAGTAGATACATACGTCCTACGTGGCAATTCACATCTTGTGTATTATGCCACATAAGATGCGTATACAATACATCTACTTGTTCAACTTTATACAAGTTTAAGTGTCGATTTATGTACATTCAAAATTGTCGAGCTAAAGCCTAACTAAAAAAGAAGGATAGTTTCAAATATATACAATAAAGTAAATAATTTACAATAGATATACTCATGTTTTTATTTACATAAAAAATAGTCAAAATTCATAAAAAGTATACACTTACTATACAATATAACATACATATACACGAGCTATGCACCGACTTTACATTAGATATAACTTATCCATACATGAAGTATACATTGACTATTCAATCTCGATTAATTCAAAATCATCTCTAAACAATCTCTTTGCTCTATACAGGAGCGCTAATGGACATGAGAAGGGAGCATGCCTCAAAATTCCAGAGATGAAATACATTCAATATTTTGAATCATTTGAGATATAATTAACTCAAAATAATTCACGTTTGCAACACAACAAAATTTTAAGAAGGAGAAGAAGAAGGACAACGACAACAAAGAATAACAAGGACGAAGTAAAAGACGTCGCTACCGCCGCAGAAGAAAGTGGTCATTTTTTTGGTAATTAAGTTGACCAAAGAGTCTTTTGACATAATTTTCCCATTAAAAAAGATGTTTATATATTATGCTATTTCCTTTATCCCAATTTATGTGACACATTTCATTTTTCAAGAGTCAAACAATTTAAATTTGTTCGGAAATTTGCGTATGAAATCTCCATTTTTTTTTTAAATGAAATTTATATATTTGTAAACTACGTAAAAAGTACTATAAGTCACAATAATTAACAATCCAAAATATGTAGAAGATATTGAAAACTTTACAATCAAATATAGACGTGTTTGAATCTCAAAATCCAAAATGTGTCGTATAAATTGAAACGGAGGGACATTCAAGACCATCCCATATAATGGCCATTCTTGTAAATCATCCCCTATAGTACCTTGCAGTGTACCCGCTTCTAGAGAATAAATAAAAGAAACTTTACCGCTCAAATTAGGGCTTTACTTTTCTTATTCAGCAAAGCAAAGCACAAAGTCCTCAAAGTTCAGTGCAACAATGGCGAACGACGTAGACATGAGTGGATGGAGTGAGCTTCTACATTCTTCTTCGAAGCTTCTAGAACAAGCTGCTCCTTCAGTTCAGTTTCCTCCGCTTCAGGTTCTGTGAAAAAAAATCATTTTTTTTTTGTAATGTGTGTTGGATTGTCGTTATTATATCGTAGTTTTGAATTTCTTTTTTTGATTTGGAAATTTTAGAGGAATTTGGATCAATTGGAAGCATTAACGAAGAAATTGAAGGCTAAAACTTTAAGAACTGAAGCTCCGACTCAATCTATTGCAGCAACCAGGTACATTTTCTTTGTATTCAGTACTGGTAGTTTTTAAATACTATGTTTTTTTTGCTGTAAGTGATATTTGATTATGAATTTTAGCTATATTCATTTGGGGTTTTGGTACAGTGAAGTTTCAAGTTGTGCTACTTTTGTATATCAATTTCTTGCAAAATCCCCCTTTTTCAAACTGTTTGGCATGCTTTATTTAAGCCGAGGGTCTATCGGAAACAACCTCTCTATCTCATAGATAGGGGTAAGGCATGTATACACTCTACCAGTCTACCCTCCTTAGACCTCTCTTGTGGGATTACATTGCATATGTAATCCCTTCTTTATCTCCCTATTTCCCTTCTTTCAGTTTCCAAACACAGGTTTTGTTTCATACTCTCACCTGTTCTTTCAAAACATTTTTGAAGTTCTATATTTACCTGTAATCCATTCACATACAATTTCAATAGATCAGGGGTTAGTGGTTGCAATATGGAGACTGAGAACTAACAGAAATGTAGGTTGTATAGTGTCTGATTGTTTGTTTCCTTTGCTTTCAAAGGCTACTAGCTCGTGAGGGCATCAACGCGGAGCAGCTTGCCCGTGATCTCAAGTCTTTTGAGTTAAAGGTACAGTTTTCCTCCCCATTTAGAGCTCTGCCAAGTCAGTTATTTATTTTCGATAGTGCTCAATGTTTAGAATTTGTGCACATAGAATGGATGATTAAATATGAATGGGTTTCAGGTAATGGATGAAAAGTCAAAGGTTTGGTAGACGTTTTGTCAATGTGGATGTTTATCCAACAACATCAAAGCGAGTATTTGGTCTTAAATATAAGTGTTACTTTAAGTTGTGCCAAATGTTTGTTAGATGCTGTTTTTGATGTTGCTCAGGACTCTTCAAAAATGTCAATGGCTACTTTTGGCGAATCCGACATGGGTGCGGCATCAAAGTTGAAGAGTCCCACAGCTTAGGTTTTTGCTTTAAAAGAAAAAGCCATGAGAAGGAGGCTAATATTATGCATGGCTACAAACCTTTTGCTGCATGTGTCCATCATTAACTGAGTCAACTCATAGTAATGGAACACAAACTGGAATTATAATTAGTAGTTCTAAATGTAAGAATTAGAAAAAAGGGTTTCTCCTTTTTCTTGATTAAGAATCTTAAGGATCATTTTTTATTCTATTCATGTTCTAAATTTGTTTGGTGAGGAATTGGGCTGGAAAAATCTCCCTGACAGTTTTATCTGATTCTACCTTTTGTTAATTTTCTTCACATTCTTCTATTCCTTCCTCACCAGACGACATTTGAAGACGTTTTTCCTGCGGAGGCAACAACTGTTGAAGAGTATTTGCAGCAGGTATTTTTAATCTTTTAATGTGCAGACGACGTTCTTTTTGTAAGTACTACTATCATCATGCATTAATTGTTATCATGTTATGTCATTTGGGTTGAGCTCATTCACTTAATGTAGATGAAATAAATGACGTGTCAACTCGATCTGTCCCTCTTCTTGGAGATTGGTTATTGTAATATTGATAAAATAGCAAGGACTAAGATGAGCAGATTCATGTAGGTGACTTGACCTGCAAGGTAATGTCTAGAGACAATTTTTATGCATCATGAATAAGTAAGTGGTGTTCGACATGAAGAAGCATCAGCTGCAGTAGGATTAGGTTTTTATCGGTCATTGAACCACTTTATGCTTTCAATTTTTTGTTCCAATTTTATCGGGTGTCCCTGAAGGGAAGACAATTTTTTAAAGATATGAGGATCATTTGCCTCCAACACAACAAGCAGAAGAAAGTAATTGGGTTGGTAAGCCAACCAATATGCTCTCATTGGTAGTCAGCGTTGTCACTCTTCAATGCACTCTCTTTTTCCCAACTCTTCAAAGCACTTGAATATCCCAAGCCATGTTTTTTTTCTCAATATTTTTCTTTTACCTAACACAACTTTGAATAGTGAAGAGTTAAAGCCAAATTGAAGGATCTAGGATACTCAAAGGATGAATGTTTGTGAGAGATGCTCTGTTTTTGTCTTTCCTTGTTTCAATGCATGTTACTTGTTCTCTTTCAAGGGCATATATTTGATATTGGTCTGTTTAAGTCTGTGATGTGAGTTCATGCTATATTATGATAATTAAAAGAGTATTTCGATGAAGCTGCACGAAGTACCTTTACCCATTTCATGCTAGTTCGACATTGTGTACATTAAGGTGAATGAAGAGTCAATGTTGAATAGAGATGCCATTGTTGTTTGAGGATGACATCATTTCTATTTCATAGTTTCTTTTGGTATAAGGAGAAAATACCAGTTTGGGTAGATGTTTGGGGCAACTTGTTAGAAGTGGATGGTTGAGTTACTTATTCATATGGCACTTTTTCCAGCACTACCTTGGTTTCACATTAATGGTAAAAATTTTATTTATCAAAAAAAATTACAACACTCGTCTCACAATCAGGAGGTCCGGCAACCAAAGGAGATTATTCACATGGTTATGCTTTTCTTAGGGCCCGTTTGGCCATAGATTTCCCAAAAAAAATTTGGGAAGAAATTTGGCAAATAGTGTTTGTCCATACAATTTGCCATTATTTGGCAAATATTTTTTGGCAAATAACCCAAATTCCCAAATACTAGAAAAAACTAGTATTTGGGCTAAATCTCATTATTTGGGAACTTTTAATAATTCAAATTCTACACCAAACTTTTATCTTTTACAAGAAAACCCTCTATAGTAATTGTTTGCGTTGTTTTACATAGTTTTTTACGTGAACATCAAGTAGTGATGGAATATTCAGTAAATATGAAAGTGATGATATGGTTGTTGATGAAAATGATAACAATTTGCTTAGGGTAACAAAGTCATGTGCTATGTGTAATACAAACATATGGTTAGTTTTGATAGTTTTTAAAACTTGTGGGTATAAATCATATTTCTTAAAAAGGTGAAATATATTTCCCAAATAGTAATAGCCAAACACATGGTGAAATTTCATCCAAATTTTTACCCAAATAATATTTGCCAAAAATATTTGGAAATCTATGGCCAAACGCTAGCTTAATTGTGGATTTTATGAATTATAAGGCACTTGTAAAAACCACATATTACTTGTGTGTGTTTTTAGATGTTTTTATGCAAAGTGTAGCAGTTGTATTCTTCCTCCAATTTAAATTCTTTCAAATGTGGATATTCTCTACCTACTGCCGTTTCGTTTCCCTGCCAGCAATGAGTAAAGGAAAAAATTTCAGCATTTTCAATGTGCTATGTTCTGTTTGCTTGAAATGCATCATTGTCACTGGATTCTTCACTCCCTTTTCTGCAGTTTGATCTTCTCCTTTTCATTGTCAATTTGATTGCCCCATTTTGACTCTTCTGTAATAGCCAACTGCATCAGATATTTCATGCATTACCGTATCTTACTTCATAGTGTAAATGTTAATAATTATTGTTCTTTTTTATGTTGGAATGCTGCAAAACAGATCCATGAAATGGCAATGGTCTCTGCAGTTCAAGAAGCTCAGAAGGATAACCTAAAAAATTTCAATGATTACATGATGAAAGTTTTGGAGGTTAGTTTGCCCAGCTGCTTTTCATATGATGAGCTTTGTGGTGTGAGTTGCTAATATCATTCGATGCTTTATCAAAATAAATCATCGGCTATCTAAGTTTGACTTGAAAAATTTAAACAGAGTGATACCTTTGTTATACCTATTGGCTGTCAATTACTTATATTATATTTCTTTGTATCTTGATTTTGATAAGTTATCCTATTTGATTTTGTGTTCTTTACCATGCTTATTTTAAGTCTTGTTGCACTCTGGAACTCTTTTTGTTACAGAACGACTGGAAGAAAGAGAAAAGAGACTTCCTCCAGAGCCTAAGCCGAATTTCAACCTTACCTAGGACAAATATCAGCGATTCAAGCCCTTTACGTGGTCGTCAGGGACAAATAGCATCTTTGACATATAACCCTCAGATTTCATCTGGTCCTTCTAGCGTGGAGCCTTTAGCATTAGCTAATAGGCCCATCGTTGAGAAAAAAGCTGCTGCATATGGAGAAGTTGTCAAGAATCTCACTAGTGCAAGAGAGCGTGGTTTACCCTTTAAAGTAAGTTCTGCATGTCGGTTCTTCACGACTTGATTTGATTCCTCCTTCCTTTGATGCAAGTGAGATTTCTCTGTCTAGTTTTAGTGATTATATCCGTTATTGCTTCAACAAAGTTATTAGAGGACTAAAATGCCAGTACTTACACCTATAAAAGAACATGAATATTGTGACGTGGGGACTCAAAAGGGAATGCTTACAAAGTACTTAGATTCTAGGAATTCTATCCAGTCATCTAATCAAAGGTCAAAGGGTAAAATATACATGAATCACTTATTTTGTAGTTTTCTTGGACAAATAATAGCGTATTAGTAAAAAAGCATGCAAGACAGACGGGAAACACAGGAAAAAGTGAAATACTGTGATGTGTGGACTGTAATGTTATGCTATACCTGTCCTGCTTCATATGATGCTATTACTATTTGAAGATCCAAACCCTTTTTTTTTTCAAACATTTCAAAGTATTTCAAATATACAAGATGTTATTTTGTGGTATTTATATGTTATATCTTATTATAAAAAAAATTAAGGAATTGATGTTTGAACTTACATCGGCAATTTGATGCTTTAACAGTCGTGCATCAAACCCCGTCATTCCTTTTTTTCAGAGGGAGTAACTTCTGTACTGCTGTTGGACAACCAAGCAATCCCTAACTAGTGAAAGTGTAATACTTGATGGGTGATATTCAGAATTTATGCATATTATCACTTTGACCTCTTATTTGGTAGCTTCCTCTTTGACGTCCATTGGTTGTTTCACTATGCTGATTTTATTGATTGAATGGCCTTGTTAATTGCCTTAAAAAATTTTCATACTATGTTAGAATTTTGATCAATTAGCTGTGATTATTGTTAGCCTGCTACAGCTTTTAAGTGTGCTCTTGAGAGTTTGGGTCTTAATGCATCTGGTGGGAAGTCAGTTGGCATTCAGAAGATCTGGCATCTATTGTCGGTATGGTGTCAAACTTGACCTTTGTATTTCTTTGAATCTCGTGTTGTTAACATTTTCTAAATCTGTAACTAGTTATCAATTTAACAAATTTGTAACAGTCTCTGATGGGTGAAGATTCCGCTGTCCAACATAATGTTTCAAAGAAAATGTCTTTAGTAATTGGAGCTAGACGTCACCTAGAATGGGGTCATGAGAAGTACATCATGGAGACAATTCAAGCCCATCCTGCTCAGGTAATGAATTAGTGTTGATGTTGTCAGTTGATAAGCATTTCTATGATTTACTTCGGCACACGTTCTATTTTTCAGTTCAAACTCGTGATCTGTTCAGTGTACTGTTGATTTGGGTCTTTAAATTGAGCTAAGGATAGTTTGTCGATTTTAACATTTATGAAGTTCTTTTTGGTCCTTTTCATATTCTATCTTCTCCTTATTTGCCAATAAAGAAAAGGAAAAGTTCTGCCTTCTCTTTTTTGGGGCTGCAGTGAGGGGTGAATGCAGTATGGGAGGGGGGTGTTCTTCGCCTCGTCACCAATTTGATTTAAATTGACATTACTGATAACTGATGGTCTTGCTGACTATTATAGGCTGCACTTGGTGGCGCTGTTGGTAATTTGCAGAGAATCCGCGCCTTTCTCAGGGTGATCTTCATTTTAGGATGCAGCACATACCATTTTCCATGATTATAGCATTTTGCCTATTACTTTTCAGTTTCCATGACTGGATTTTCCTGATTGTTGTTCCTTATCTCAGATCCGTCTAAGGGACTACGGGGTTCTTGATTTTGATGCAGTTGATGCCCGTAGACAGCCTCCCATTGATACCACCTGGCAGCAGGTTTGAATGCTTTACTCTGATTACACAAACCATCAATATGCAGGCTTTTGCATTTTGGTTTGAGCTATTAGATGTTTCCGTTAAGTTTTTTTTTGATAGGTAATATTTTAGTCATGGTTTTAGATCAATCCATTCAATCACATGAGCAAGTTATGACTCTAGTCTTGTTTGGTCTTGTATTTTAGGAATTGCCAATTCTAGTGTAAAACCTTTTGGTTGTGAATTTATCCAGCAAAGTATATCAAACTAGATCACCTCCTTGTGTTTTGGAAAGAAAATTGAGCAGATCTGTTCTTTTTATAAGCATATATTGGGCTATATTTTGTGCGATAAGAAGTTTCACTTTCTTGTTTTGTTGTTGTCAGTTGGTGGTCTTGTGATCCTTCAAGATCCCAGTGTAGTTTGAGATTTGGATTTCTCTTAACAATTTCTTGAATTAACAATGGTTCTTTACTTTTCTCTTACTATTGTGTTTAACAACCATTTTTGCTGGCTTATGCTTATGCCTCTCTTAAATTCATAATTTGTTCCCTTATTTGTTAATAGTTCTTGCTTTGGCTAGCACCCAAGTTTTTACAGACTACAGTCTCTCTATACGGTAATCTTGTGCTATTTTCATATTTGATAATTAGATTTTTTGCTTAGATTTCCATCATCTACTATCAATCTAACAACTTAGTAGTAGTTTTTTTAATAACTGTGGTGTCCGGGTCAGCTTTCTCGCACCTCGACTAATTCCTCGGGGTACCTGATAGAGGGCCTCTATCAGCAACTTGTAGTAGAATAAAAGAAATACGAGTAGAAGTTATTGCTCTTGGTCATGAATTATTCTAATTTCTAAATGTGCATACTTCCTGTGTTTATCCTGTTTCTGCAACTACTTGAGCTTCTTACTGCACCTGTAACTTACCAAGAAAATGTGTAGCTCAAACTGATTTTGATTATTATATCTTAAAATAGATATACTTTTGCATGAGAACTGGCTACTACAATGAAGCAAGAGAGATTTCCCAACAATCTCGCATGTCCCACCAGTTTGCACCTTTGGTATGTGTTCTGTGGATTGGATATTTTCTGTACGTTGTCCATTCTCTTTTCATTTCATTATTCCCAGTTTTTTGCAGCTTACAGAGTGGATTTCCACTGGAGGCATGGTATCAGCAGAGATGGCAGCTGTTGCTTCAGAAGAATGTGAGAAAATGTTTAGGTTGGGTGATCGAGGAGGTCGACCCACGTATGATAAGAAAAAGTTGCTACTCTACACCATAATTTCTGGTTCTCGCAGGCAAATTGACAGATTTCTTCGAGAATTCCCTACACTTTTCTCTACTATAGAGGATTTCTTGTGGTTCCAATTATCTGCTGTACGTGAGTCTCCTGACAGGTCTTCTGTTGTCCTAAGTGAGGGGTTGGCACCCTACACTTTGGATGATTTGCAAGCTTACCTAAACAAGTTTGAGTCATCACACTATACTAAGAATGGAAAGGATCCGTTGGTTTATCCATATGTTTTACTTTTAAGCATTCAACTTCTTCCAGCCGTCCTATATTTGTCCAAGGACATGGGAGACGAGGGGTATAATGTAGATGCTGTTCATATGGCTATTGTCTTAGCGGACTATGGGGTCCTCTCTGAAGGTACATGGGTAGGTCAAAAATTTGGGGTCATGGATGCTTTTGCTGAAGCCTCTAGCATAATTAGGCAGTATGGATCATTTTACCTGCGTCATGGTGATCTGTTAATGTCATTGGAGTACTATGTGCAAGCTGCAGCAGCAGTGGGTGGTGGGCAGTTGTCGTGGAGTGGACGTGGTAATATTGATCAGCAAAGGCAAAGGAGCTCAATGTTGAAACAACTTCTTACAGAGCTATTGTCGCGGGATGGTGGTATTGATATTTTACTTGGTCCCAGGGGTACTGGAGAAGAAGGTCAACTTGGAAGGTTTTTGACTGATGAAAAGACTAGACAACAATTTCTGCTTGAAGCTGCTCGGCAGTATCAGGATGCGGGGCTCTATGACAAGGTAATCTTTTCTTTCTTCCTTTTACATAGTGACATGAATGAACTTATTGCTTTAACTTGTGTAGTTCGACATAAGACATAATAATCATTTCTTCATTCAATGACAGTAAATTATCTCTATAGCATGAGATCTATTTTGGGTTAGATTTGAAGTCATTTTTTTGGGCAATTGTTGTACTTAGTGAATAATGTCTTGTCATGTACTTTTGAGTTGGACTATCAGTTGACAAAGAAAATTCTCCTTTAAGGATTCTTGAATAAGTTGTAGCAGTGAATCTTTTTCTTTTTGTTGATAAAGTAGTAAATTTCATTAATGTACATGTTATCAATTTGTGAATTTTGTGGTCCCGCCCAGGGTGTAGGCTCGGGGCGTGACAAAGGTTGGACGGGGAAAGCCAGACTTCTGGGCTTATTCTTTCAGGAAATGAGATCCTGGAGATGTTCAAATATTACCCTGAGATCAGGTAATATGCAGATTTGTCCAGTAGTCAGACATTTTCTGTTGTGGCTATAAATAGTTTCTTAAAATGATGTATTTGAATGCCTCTTTGCTGTTCTGGAATGGAAGCCTAATCTCATCCATTTTTGCAGTCCCCAAGAGAGAGAAAATGTGTTGGCACAGCAAATTGTTCTAAGACAGCTGGAGGCTGTGCTATCCATTCATAAGCTTGCAAGACTTGGAAATCACTTGGATGCTATAAAGGAAGTGGCGAAGCTCCCATTCCTTCCTTTGGACCCAAGGATGCCGGATTTCGCTATGGATATCTTTCAAAATTTGTCTCATCATGTCCAAGCTTGTGTACCTGACCTCCTAAAAGTTGCGCTTCATTGTCTGGACAATGTTAAAGATACTGATGGGTCACTTCGTGCTTTAAGGGCCAAGGTAAATTTTACAGCATACATGTTCATGTTCGTTCTCTTTCACTGTTTGTGGCTTTGCTCTTATTTCCCTTTGGAGTTATGCCCACTTTGTTTGTTATTTCCACTTTCCAGTTATGTTGTGTGCTTGTCCTTCACAAAATGTATTGCTAAGTTCAGATTTTCGCTAAATATGATGAAGACCTAACCTGACGAGGAAGAAAACAACTCTTTGAATAATGACTTTAAATAAGAGGAAGACATTCCTCTTATTTAGATGTAATATTGGTCTTTCGATTACATGTGACACCTATCATGAACCAAGTGTTCACAGATCTGCTTTTGGTTCTAAATCTCATTAACTAAATCAGATAAAAACAGCAGCCTAGTACAATGTTTATTTCTGAAGATGTTCTCTAGTGCATCTCTGAGAATATATATTGGACAATGATTCTTATCATATATTAAGTCAAACTTCTTTTGATTAACAATAACATCTTGTGATAATTGATGTGAATTTGGTTCTGCAGATTGCAAACTTCCTTGCAAGCAATTTGAATCAGAATTGGCCTCGCGATCTGTATGACAAGGTTGCTCGCAGTTTATGAAGTTGAAGAATCACAGTCCGTCTCTGGTGTTGTTTACTTTAGATGTTCAGCATTGTATAAAGATCATTGAACAGGCCAAGTTCGGGCATCCACGTCGTTAGATTTTACTTGTTGGTGTCCACAATGGCAATCTTCTAGACAGTGAAGATGCACAGTATTGCCAGTGCATTAGTTTCAAAATTTTCGAGTACTTAATGATAAGTGTGTCTCGGTGTTAATGAGCATGTTTCTTTGCTCGCTTTTGTCTACAGCAGGATTTGAACACTGGACGTGTGCTTTAACCTACACATTATGTGTTACGCCCTTACTACTAGATTAGAGTTGTGGGGCAGACCTCTTCTTTCACTTTGACATATTAACTAGGTGTGTCAAAAGAACATGAAAATTGCCCGAATCGAATCGATTTATCATTGTTTCAACAAAATCGTGGACTTTTATTTAAGTGTATAACTGTCCCGAATAATTGAGATGGTCCTTTTAATTTATGTAAAAAATCAAAAAATTCCGAATTCAATTGAATAACCTTGTGTGTAAATATTATTTTATATGTTTGTCTTTGCTCTTTAATTAGCCTTTAATTAATTATGCAAGCACTCCTATTAAATGTTTAAAGATCAAACAATACAAAAATAAAGGTTTTACATTTATGGCTTCTTGGAGAAGAATTAAAGTGTTTTTTTAAGAATGTATTTGCGAAAGAAATATTTTAATAATAATATATTTTGAGATGATATTTTAAAAATAGGAGTGAGTAGCAAATCCATCTCTTTCACATGTTTTTTTAGATTTGTAACTACTATAATTATTATACTATTATTTTTGGATTATTGGATGTTGTTTATGCAGATTAAATAAAAGTATGTGGTGCATGACAACTGATTATAATTTTTGGAAATATTATCTAACTACACATCATTTTCATATTTTCTTATTTTTCCTACCATTCAAAAATATCAAAAATCCCCTTTTTTGCTCTCATTAATCCTTTTTTGGGATACATTAATTTGAAATCTTCTATTAATGATTTTCTTTCCTTTTTTCACTCCACAAATCTCTCCACAATTACTTTCATTAATCTACTTTTGAATTTCAATCTTTTCTCTTTCCAATAAATGATTTCAAGTTATTTAAGAGGTAGATTTCTTTCAATCACTTCAGTTTTCGATTTTTTTAATCTTTTCATCTTAAAAAATTGCAATCTTTTACTCCCTGTCTCTTTATGGAAGAGAGGTGGAAAAACCTTGCTAATGCACATAATTCATCTTGGAGTGCATTTGAAATGGTTCCAGGAATTTCTAATGGCGGTCTTGATACACTTCATTCCGTTGGTTCGATCTTTCAGTTTTTTGGGCTTACTTTCAATGTTTCTCGGTTATTTTGATTCTTAAATTAGTCTTTTTGGGCTTACTTTCAATGTTTTATATGTGATAGAAGTGTGTCTCGGTGTTAATGAGCATGTTTCTTACTCTTCTCCACTTAACTATTTAGTTCTTTTATGCAACCAGTTTTGAACCTGTGATGTGTGTCGTATTTGAGGATTAGATGTTCTATAGATTATAATTATTTAGACATTCTCTCGAGTCCAGGAGGGTTGTTGGTACACAAGTCGAAACTCGGTAGATAATGAGCATGCTTCTTTGTTCTTCTCCACTTAATAGCACAACTTTTGTCTACAACAGGATTTGAACACTGGACGTGTGCTTAACCTACACATTATGTGTTACGCTCTTACTACTAGATTAGAATTGTGGGGCAGACATCTTCTTTGACTCTTGACATATTTACTAAGGGTATCAAAAGAATATGAAAAATCACCCAAATTGACTCTTATCATATTTTAGCAGTAGCCTCTTCATTTTGAATGAGTGGCTAGAAACTAAAAGTACAAAAAAAGATGAGCCTTTTGAAAAGTTAAAAGGTGGTAGGGTAATGCCTCTCATCCACATCCTTGTTTGGTGGCTTTAAATGAATAAAAGATAAGTTATAAAATGCACATTCAAACTATCACTTTTCCGCAAGTTTTATATTTCAATTATCACTTTTTTTTTAATTAAAACACACATTGATACTGAGTTGATCTATATACGTCTATTATCAATTGGGAACAAATATTTGATCAGCTCACCATCGATTGAGGTATGTTTTTGACCATTAATAGAGATGCAATGCATAAATGAACTTGGAGTGCACGGCAGACAGATAATTAATTAAGTCAAATATCATTTCTATTCCCAATTGAATAAATTTCATGAATAAATTTCCATAATCAACGTATGACGTACTAACATAATGACAAGAATAAAAAACTATATAAATGTTATATAAACCTTTCAATACAACAAACTTTATCAAACACCAATCATCAAAGTTTTCATCAATTCTCAGAACTTGTTTTAATTTCTCCATGGATAACATGAATAATGAAATGTTGAAAAAACAAGAAAATGAAGTAGCTATAATCATGGTTCCATTTCCAGCACAAAGCCATCTCAATCAACAACTTCAACTAGCCTGCATATTTTCCTCATCATATGATCTTCCTGTCCACTTTATTGGCTCAGCTACTCATAATCATCAAGCTCGTGTTCGAGCCAACGGGTTAAAACCATCAGACATAGCCAAAATTCACTTCCATGATATCCCAACACCTGATTTTGCCTCCCCTGCACCTGATCCTAATGCATTCACCAAATTCCCATCACAACTCTTACCATCTTATAATGCTTGCACCCTTCTTCGCGACCCTATATCTTTGTTACTTCGTGACATCTCCTCTAAATCAAGACGAGTTGTCGTTGTTCATGATGTTTTAATGTCATATAATGTTCAGGATGTTACTTCTTTGCATAATGCTGAGTCTTATATATTTAACTGTGTTTCTGTTTTCTTTATGTATTCTAGTTTTATATGTGTACCTAATGGAATGCCTATTCCACTTGATGAAGATTTACTTAAAAAGTTACCTATACTTGAACCTGATGCACCAGAAGAGATCAACAAGTTAGTTGAGTTTCAACTTCAGTTTAGAGATATTAGAGTTGGTGATTTATACAATTCAAACAAACTACTTGAAGGTATTGCCCTTATTTTCTGTCATAATTAGAATTACATTTTGGTTAATCCTTTCTTGCAGTAAAAGGAAAGGTTAGTAGGTTTCAGTGCGTTGTCTTGATGTCCGTTCATATTAGTAGTCATAGTATTACTCTTATAGTTTCTTATCCTTTGATTTATGTTACTATCTGTTGTTTCTTGTACTTGATTATGTAGGCCACTTTGCCTAATTATATCAAAATATTATGCTTTTTAGAATAGCTTTCTTTGTTATAGTTCGCAATTATTAGCTTAAATGTCTGATTATTTCAATCCCAACAGGTACTTCTCTTGATCTGATGGAAAAATTTGCAAGTACACAAAACAAGAAGCAATGGGCAATCGGACCGATATTTCTGGCTGCTAAAGTAGATCATGTATCAGATAAGAGAAACAAATGTTTAGATTGGCTTGATAACCAACCTCCAAGATCAGTTCTTTATGTATCTTTTGGATCATCAACTACATTTTCTGATAAAGAAGTGATGGAGCTCGCGATGGGACTAGAGCGAAGCAAACAGAAGTTTGTATGGGTGTTGAGAGATGGTGATAGAGGTAATATCTTTAGTGAGGAAGCTAGAAGATTTGAGTTGCCAGACGGGTTTGAAGAAAGAGTAGAAGGTGTCGGGTTAGTGGTCAGAGAATGGGCGCCACAGCTTGAAATCTTGGCTCATTCTTCCACAGGGGGATTTATGAGTCATTGCGGATGGAATTCTTGCATAGAGTGTATTACTGCAGGGGTACCAATGGCTGCTTGGGCTATGCATTCTGAACAGCCACTTAATGCTTTCTTTGTGACAGAAATCTTGAAAACAGGCCTTCTCGTTAGGGAGTGGAAGAAACACGAGGAGCTTGTCACTGCATCTGCCATTGAGGATGTCGTGAGGAAGTTAATGGCATCAGAAGAAGGCGACGAGATTAGGAGAAGGGCAGAAGAATTGGGAGCAGCAGTAAGGGAGTCCATAGAGAAAGGAGGTGCTTCTCAACTGGAGTTAGATTCTTTCATTGCTCATATTACTAGATAGACTTGCTTTTCACAACTAAAAATTTCTGTTTTGTAATGCTCTACTACTACTGAATAATCGAAAACATATGTTGTTCGTCTTATGGAGTAACCTTAATTCATCATATGTGGTTCTTGAATATAACTCTGGTACATACCAACTGAGAAATGTAAACAAGACCATTAAGAGAGAAATACAAAGCAATAAGTCACTGATAGCCATAGAAGCCAGACAAGTGACAGATAAACTTGAAATTTCTGTTGAAAAGCAAGTCTATCTTGTGATATGCGCGATAAAAGAGTCCAGCTCTATTCGAGAAGAACCCCCTTTCTCTGTGGAACGCCTAACGGCTTCTCCCAATTCTTCTGATCTTTTCCTAATTGCATCACCTTCTTCTGATGCCATCAACTTCCTAACGACTTTCTCAATAGTGGATGCACTTACTAGCTCCTCG